AAAAAAAAAAAATTAAACAAAATTTTTGTAATAAAAAATAAGCATCTAAAAATATGTAGTTTTCAAAAATGAAAAAAATTTCACTTTTTTCGATTTTGGTCGGTAGTAACAATAATAATTTTTATTGAAATCTGCACAAGTTATATATTTTTGCAAAGAGCACATCAATACCTTTCAAATTAAAGTACATTGGGTAGTGAAATTATATATGGGTGTCAGACGATAGGGGTCTAAGAACGTTTCAGTTTAAAAATATTTTCACGAGTGTTGCCACGTAATTGAAGTGGAATTTAATTCAACTATACACAAGGTGTATGTAATAATAATATATGGGTGCTAAACTAAAGAGCGTTAAGAAACCTTTAGAATATTTTTGAGGCGCTTGAGGAGGATTGCCACCTGTTTGAAAATATTCAAATTAAATACTTATATGTTAAATGCATTTTGATTTGTGATTTTTCAGCTAAATAATATTATTTTAGGAAACGTAACTACTTCGGGGTTTTTGGGACTAGTTCGTGCTTTTTGTGACTATTTCGATATTCTCGATGTTCTCGGGAATACACCGGAATTTTTAAGAATAATTCCGTATTGTTGGGACTATTTCGGGTTTTGCGAGACTTCCTCGAGATTTTCTCTCGGGGGTTCTCGGGATTTTTGGACTATTTCGGGATTTCCGAGAATTCTTAAGGATTTTCTGGACTATTTCGGGTTTTGCGAGACTTCCTCGAGATTTTCTCTCGGGGGTTCTCGGGATTTTTGGACTATTTCGGGATTTCCGAGAATTCTTAAGGATTTTCTGGACTATTTCGGGTTTTGCGAGACTTCCTCGAGATTTTCTCTCGGGGGTTCTCGGGATTTTTGGACTATTTCGGGATTTCCGAGAATTCTTAAGGATTTTCTGGACTATTTCGGGTTTTGCGAGACTTCCTCGAGATTTTCTCTCGGGGGTTCTCGGGATTTTTGGACTATTTCGGGATTTCCGAGAATTCTTAAGGATTTTCTGGACTATTTCGGGTTTTTAAAAACAACTTAGGTATGCTCGTGGTTATCGGGATCTACGGGACTACCTCGAGATTTTTGGGACCAATTCGGATTTTTTGGTACTATTTCGGGGTTTTCGAGACTACTTCGAGCTTTTCGGGGTTTTCGGGGCCATTTCGGGATCTTAGGGATTTTTAGGTCCAATTCGGAATATTTGGGGCTATTTCGGGTTTTTCGAACCTACTTCGAGATTTTCGGGGTTCTCGGGAATATATCGGGATTTTGGGACTATTTTGGTATTTTTGAACTATTTCGAAATTTCTCCGGTATTTTCAGGACTATTGGAGATTTTTCGGTATTCTCGGCTCTAAATCGGGATCTGCGGGACTACTTCGGGATTATTGGGACCAATTCAGAATTTTTGAGACAATTTCTGGTTTTTCGAGACCTCTTCGGGATTTT